ATGTAAGATGAAATCCAGATTATTATCTTACTTACTAAATTACAAGTAGTCTCTTTACTTACATTAGTTTATGCGAGTAAAGCAATTTATACCTCATTATTGCCACTTTTGAGAGTAGGACTCATTCATTTAAATCAAAGTATTTTGGGATTATTTGAATTTACGGAATAGGAGTAAGAATTTATGTGAGAACTACCCGATTAGTCCTTTATGCATGGTCCAAATTATAGTTGCATTGTTGGCTATAAATCATTTTTCGCAAAATGCTCATTAACTTAATCGGAATCATGCTCAGCATCAAGCAATCGTATTAAAGCACTTCTTTTAATCAAAAATGTCCTTAACCACGATAAACCTTTGCTCTATTAACCCTAACCCTTCACAGGGATTACATAAATACATAAGTGTATATGTATATAGCTTTGTATGAAATTAATTAAAAGAAACCTTTTAGGCATACATAAATTAGTTTTTCTAGTATGAGATACTTTCTTGACTCGTTATGTATGTAACTTCATGATACCAATGACCTCCGTCTCTGAGTATGCCTGATCATGAGCGAAAGCTCAGCTCGCTTTCACCCTGAATATTCAAACTAAATCAAGCTAGAATAGATCAAAAGAAACATGTTTCTATCCCGCGGTGAGATCAACTTGATAATCTTTTTATCACACTTTCACTTGTACTGAAGGCAATATATCAAGAATTTCATCGTAAACCAGCTGCGGCTCTATCTTACATGTTTGTTATGTTCACGGCTAAAAAAGAGCTGAAAATATATAGGATGACTTGGTTAGTCCCTTTGCATGCTAATTCAAATACTTTCATGTTTGAGCATGTGTATGTAACTGTATAAGCCAGGATAATAAGATATAATGTGTAACCCTTAATGTCTAGGAGAGAGTGTAACGCTATTCATGGACCATCACATTCATGACCTTTGAACAGGCCAACGATTGCAGAGAAACGGGACTCAGTCGTCTTTCTTTAGTGAACTCTAACCCCAAAGCTTGTCATAAAGCACGGTCACAGAAAATGAAAGTTACCAAAATAAGTATTAGTCACAGTTATCCCTCACATTGTATTAATATGCTTATCAAGAGATCTTAGGTATAATAATACTTTTAAGATAAATATGATAAATATTCTATCAATATACATATACTACTAGAGGCAGTAATACAACTAATTAAATAAAATTATCAGAAAATTGTATCGCGTAGTTTATGCTCGATTCATTAATTAAAATCCTTCAGGTATTTGGCGATTGTGATGAGGACGGATTCTACATGGGAGAATGCAACGGTCTTCGAGGTCTAGTACCATCCAACATGGTGAGTGAGGTCGAGGCACAGGCAACAGGAAAGAGTTTAGGAAGTACGGCTTACACTGCCACGAGGACCTGCAGCACAACACTCGGCACAACAGCTGTGGCTTCCACTATTTCTGGATCGACGCAGCTAAATCAGTCAGAACCGGTCCACTGGTTGCCTCAGGGCGCCTGGTACGATTCAGACTTGTGTCGAGCCCAAATACCTGCTCCGGTTGCATTTCCACCTGGTCAGGTGTGGCGGCCAAGAAATATTGTCGGCCAAGGAGGTATGACTGAGCTGGCGCCAGCAAATGGGGCGCACCAGACTAGCAACGAAATGAACACTGGTGCCGGCCTCGGGGCAGTGTTATCAAACAAAGTTAGGATGCAGCAAATGTTTCCTTCAGGAATGCCACAACAACATCACCACTGGCAGTATCAATTATCAGGCCAACATCTTCCTGTACATCCAGGCCAAGAACAGACACAACAACAGCAACAACAAATGCAACATCATCAACAACAAATGCAGCAGCAGCAACAACAACATCAACAACAAATGCAGCAGCAGCAACAACAACATCAACAACAAATGCAGCAGCAACAACAACAACAAATTCTCCAACGACCTGGTGCTGTCTATTCTGAATTTGACTCCAGGGCCATGTTCCCTCCAACGGGCCCAGGATGCGGGCCTCAGGTAGGCAGAATATACTATCCTGCTTTGTTTAAGGCCTAGTTTGCCTTTAGCTTAAATTGCCTGGAGAATTTGGATAAATTCGTAGATTTGCTTTTCGGAAAGCAGATTGTAGATCAGATTGAAGTTATTGTGATCCTAATTGGTTGGACTTTTGTTTCGAGTTAATCAAGCATCCGCATAGCATCATTTGACCAGATATGATAAGGTGAGTTTTAGTGTCGTGACAAATATCTCCAAATTGCGATGAAATACTTTCTCTCGAAACAGCCTAAAATAAGAATAGGTTTACTTGATTAAACCTTGCCTTGTTAGTCAAGGTTAAGCCGGATCTTAGCTGTTTTTATGTGATTAGCTTTAGTTCCTTTCCTAACCTCAGCCTTCTTAATGTACTAGGCTATTGTAAAATTTTACTGAATCTGCAATTGATAATTTCAGTAACTAAAGTTAAGGGAACAGCCTCTTGTGGAAGTTTGAGGCATCCTAAATTGCAAAGGTGCCTTTTTTCATCTAAGTTGTCTTTTTCAAGCACTCTAGTGGGACCTGATGCAAGGACGTACACGATCGGAAGATACATGCCCATGCTAGTTGCAGACAGCAGAGCCTCTTTATTCACAAATATGATTATAATTTGTAGACAGAGCGAAAAGGTGCCTCCCGTTAGGCTCGATACCAAGCTTTGGGCAAAAATAATGCTGGTGTCAAGCCTTAGAAGACCTCGTTATATAGTGTAAGTAGATTAATAGTCTGCTTTAGAAGCGATAGATGAGTCTACTACATTGAGGTGAAGAATGGCTTGAGTTACAAAATCGAGTAATTGGTTATATTATTGGCGAGAAGTTCCACCATTAATCTTACAGCGTGCTCTTGCTAGCCTTTCTATTGAGATGACGTTGTCTGGCCTCTTCAAATTAAGAATCGTGTCAACATCCACAAACTCCATACCTATAATGAGAAGAGTTTAACTAAAGCATTCTAAAACAGTTCTTCTTATGAAATCAAATAACAAACGTTCGTCTCCAAATGCGCATAATTTATGAATAGCTTTACAGTAATTGTCGATCATTATGGGTTTAAAGAAGAAAAACCAACAATTGTTGTGACACCAATAGATTTTAATGTGTATCCTATTGTCATTTAATTCAGAAATTTCCTTTAGTTGCTTCCGATGTGCACACAAAATTTAATAAACCTTTCATTCATGAATATTTAATGCGTATTTATCAAAATAATTTTATTTTTAAATGTGTAGGAAATCTCGCAGAGATCTTTCAAACGCAGAATTCAGAAACCCTAGTTCTTTCATTCTCTGATAGTGTATAAAATGTGGGAATGGGGCATTATTATAGTATAATGAAACTTTCAACTTAGATGTTACTGGATACTTTGCCTGATTTGAATATCGTCTAAACCATTGTTGATAAGCTGTGGTAGATATGAAACAAAGCTCCTTTTAAAGTCTTCATTACACTTCGTTTATTATAGTATTGAATAGAGGTTGTCTGATCCTGCTTCACGCAAATTGGCCATATTGACAGGAACGCACCTTGTCCGGAGTCCATAGTATGCATGATAATTTATAGAGTCGGACCGTAAACTTGGTTCATTCCCAGACGTTTCAACAGCACCATCAGTGAGTCTTGTCATTCTTAGCACAACACTACCACTCATCAGAGACAAGTGAAGTCGATCTTTTGACCAATTGTGTGCTAAACAGTTGTGGTATCTCTCCTTCTGTCATGAGATATTCACCTCTCCTATATCCTCGTATCACTCACTTGTTTATCTAAACCTATTTGAAAACTATTCACACTTCCTGCTCGTTTCCATATCCCTCCCACTGTGCCGGGAGTGTTGATCCAAGACTCCGGTTTAATCCGCAATCCTTTCCCTTTAGGCCTTATCAGAGTCTCCTCTTGCGGATGCATTGTTGTCCATCATCGTCAGTCACAGAGAATCGCACTTTGATAAGCCCTTCTACTTAGTTCGTCAGTCACAAGGTAATATAAAACTTTATACTTGTGTGCGCTTTTTTCGCTTGATATTATATTGAATCGACACCTTAGTTTTCACGAAGGGCCACATTTCAGATACAGTTGGAGTTATGGAATATAAAATATTTGCAAGCTTTTTCAACATTGTAAAGAGGATCAAATGTTAACCTTTACTTGGCGACATCAAAAGGAATTAGTCAGAAATTACGAAGTTAATGCCTATTTAAGTTTGTATCACTCGATCAGGACTTAACAAACCATACCACTTTTTTAATGTGAATTCGTTTTACTCGCATCGAAACAGAGTCCAAATTTAGAAGAGTGAACATTCTCCATAGGGCATAAACAACTAACGGGCTTATTTATAGGAGCTCAGATCGTTTGGAATTTTTATCTTAGATTTAGAAAAACTAACTAAACTTGATTTGAGGCAAATATGTATTTCAATACTTAATTACTATTTTCGGTATTTTACCTAATACACAACACTGGATAAAATAAATCCCTTAAAGAACCAGATAATTAATTTTGCATCCCCTACACGTTGAGACTGAGCAAAAATATCCATAGCTTGTTTTTGTATCCTCGGACACAGCAGATATCAAATTACCTTTTAGTATTTACAATCCTAGAACTATTTTCACTAGAAGCAGGATCGCGTGTAAAATTAAGCGCATAAAGTTAAGGAAAGACCTAAAATACGGAGAAAAAAATGACATATTCGATGAAGACTACAGCAAGTAAATTTCATTAAGGCTGTACTATCATATAGAGTAACGCGCGTGTCTCTAACAGTCTCCAGGAGTAAATTAATGACGAGCCATTTGTTCACTACTGTAGACAGTCATTTTCATATGAAAAATAAGAGTATTTATAATTGCGTTTATATAGCAATACATAGAAAGTCCTTTCGTACTTTGTAGCAGTCAATTCCACGATACCGACTGGCACCTGCAAGCCAATTCACTCAGGCATCAGTCCCTCCCTTTCAACCCATTGGCTATCATGCAGCTATTGGCCCCAGGATGATGCAACCTGGTGGACTCAGTCAGCAGAAAGACCAGGTTCTTGAGGCCCCCGGGCCGTTTGGTGGACGGACGCCTGGCGGCTTTGGGGCTCCAACAGGGCCTAGTTTCACGGGAGCGTACACAGAGCCTCCGAATTGTGGTTTACAGTCGTACTCAAGCCAACCAGTAGGGGGGCAACAG